AGCATCATCTACTACACAGATTCTTGCATCGGTATATTGATGTAGTGGGAGGATTATCATCCAATTCGACAGAATCATGTTTTTAGGTGAGACTATTATGGACATCCCTGTTAAACATGAGTTGGACCCAGTAAGCTACACGGAAGCGTGAACCGATGTGGATACAGATCGTTTTGGTGAGTTACTATGAAATCAGAGTTGGAATCGATGTATTCTAATAAATTCTGGGATCTTGTAGAACTTTCTAGTAGGGTGATTCCTATGGAAGGCAAGTTAATATATAAAAAGATACCAGAAGATTTCTTAGTGAATAAATCATGAGTGTGCAAGGGAATGTCATTATTTTTCTAATTCTATATATATTGATGACATCCTACTCATTTAGAATGATGTGGAAGTTGTGTCATCAATAAAAAGGTAGTTGTTCAATTACTTTTAAATGAAGGATTTTTAAGATGTAAGCTATATTCCTAGGATCAAGCTTTTGCAAGATCAGGTTAAAAGGAAAATAGGCTTATCTTAATAATCCTACATTGCTAAAGTTTTGACCAAGTTTGGTATGCATAACTCAAAGAATGAGTTCTTGCTTTATTGATATGGATGGCTCTCTCTAGTAAGTAGTTTTTCAAGACTATCAAAGGAGATTGAGCAAATGAGACTGGAACAATATGTTTCGGCATATGAGAGTCTCATATATGCCATGGTCTATACCAAACAGGACATCCGCTACATAGTAGGGATAGTCAGTAGAGATCAGTCCAATACTGGACTTGACAACTGGTCTATTGTGAAAAATATCATTAAGTACCTAAGGAGAACCAATGATATCATATTCATTTATGGATGTGATGATATGGTCCTAGTCAGGTATGCTAGTTCTGATTTTCAATCAGAAGTAGATACTATGAGGTTCATGACTCAGTGTAAGTTCACTTAATGGAAGGGAGATCAGTTGGTAGATTGTTAAGCAGATTTCAACTGCTGACTCAAACCTGTAGGTGGAATATATTGCAGCCTTAAAGGCGGCAAAGGAAGCCTATTAGTTTGATCTCACTGATTTAGAGGTTGTGGAGTATACTAGCCTGCCTATTGAGCTATGTTGTGACAATAGTGCAGAAGTAGTCCAAACCAATGACCCAAGGTTCCATAGAGGAACAAGATACATTGAGAGAAAGTATCATGTTCTACATGATATTGTCCGGCAAGAAAATGCACTTGTAGTTAGAACATTGCATTGGAACACAACTTTGTTGATCCATTATCAAAGGTGTCATTGATCAATAATTTTGATCATCATCTGGATAACATTGGAGTTAGGTGCAATTTGAATTGGCTATGAGGGCAAGTGGGAGTTGTTGGGATTTATATGCCCTGGCATAGCAAATTCCTATCTGGATTGTAGTGACATATGTTCCTGACATATCTGAAATATTTATGATTTATATAATTGGTGAATTCAATGTATTATGTTTCGATTCACTATGAAATTGATAGTGTCCATTTAATTACAAGAAATATTTATATATATGTATGTGATGACAATCAATGCATGATATATAAATAGTAATTATAAATTGTTCATAGTCGGTAATTATGGATGGACTCATAATTAATTAAGACTTGAACTGGATCCGCGTTAGGTTGAGATATATTGCGAGAGCCGTCGTATGCAATTACTCCCTATCACCGTCATGGCATTTGACTCTTAAGCATGAGAAAAGTATAGACTCTTTTATTAATTAATAATTACTTTGATTTGTTCGGCGGATTCTTCGGGATCCTTAGACCGACACTTTGGGTAGTTATGTAATTAATAGTTAGAGGGTTATATTTTCAATATTTGCATCATTGCTACTTGTATTTATTTTGTATTGATTATGGTTGATCACAAAGCGAAGGCCTTCGTGTGTTTTTAGACAAAATGATTTATTATATATTTATTTATTTAAATTATTATTTTTGTCAAACAAATGTTTTATTGTGATCGAGGCAGAAATAATCAAAGGTACCAAAATAAATATATTAATTAAGTAGTCGGATTGATGGCTATATTTATCCGATAACTAATTATGCATAGAGGGGTCAAAGTGCAATATTGACTTAGAGGTTATTTATTATTTAATTGGAGTTCAATTAATTTCTTTTAGTGGAGTAGAAATTAATTTATGAATTAATTGAATTGGGTCCATGGACCGGGCCAATTATTAATTCATTGTAGCCAATAAAATAATAGGCCCAATGGATTCTCACTCATAGCCCAACTTGATATTAGAATCATATTAGATTTGAGACATATGAATTAGAGATGGAGAAGGATTTGTTGTTTCCTTTTCTTTATTTTTATGTTGCCTATAAATATACATAGTCTATATATATTTTAGGGGGTGATTTTTATGAGAAGGAAAAAGGAATAAATTTTCTCTCTCTAGAAAATTAGGGTTTATGGTCTCATCTAATAGAGGCTCCCACAAGCCTAGTTTTCCAAGGTAATTCATGGAGGCTTATGAGTGATTCCTAAAGGCAAAATAATTACCAAGAAGATGGAGATCCAAGGAGAAGGCATCTTGCTAAGGGATCTACAATAAATGAGAATATTCACATTAGAGGAAAATTTTAAAGATTTACTCAGACCTTTGATGTAAGTATTCAATCCATTAATTGAATGATATATCATATTTTTATTTTTGCATAAAACTTCAAGATTTATGAATCAAAATCCCTCGAAAATTTTTTAAAACTCGCACGTTTCCAACAGAAAGATCTTAAAGGCTTCAATCAAGATTGTTTCCGATTCTTTTGTTTTTGGAATCTGATTCTCCAGTTCATTCAAAAGTATTTAAAAAAACAAAAAAAAAAAATAGAAACGTCCAGGTACAACGACACTAATTGATTCGACGTATCAGTTATCCAATATCCCCCATATATTCTAAAGAATCTAAACAAATAAATAACTACTTCCCTTGTTTTCAATACGTCTGGAATGATGCCTTGAAACATGATTGCCTTGAAACAATCATTTGAATCTTATTTTTCTTTTAATTTTCTACTTTTTTGAAAGGTATGTCGTTATCATATTTCAAAATATGTTAATAATGACAAACAGACTGGCATGATTAAAGTAAGATTCCAAAAATAAAGAAATAAAAAAGATAAATAACACATGATAGTTTCCAATCATCTTACTCCTAAAACATACTTAAACAGTAAAAAATATACTATGTTTAATAAAGTATTATTTGATAACTTAATTTAATATTTAATTATAAATAAATTAAGTATTTATTTATTTATTTTCTCAAGTATTTATTTATTCTCAAGTATTTATTTAATTAAGTATATTAAAAATGTTCGGCTGTTTCAAGAATTGGTGGGGTTCAAAGTTAGAACTAAAATCTATAATTTTTCCCAATTTTATTTGTTTCAATTCCAAAATTCTAATTTTGTGCAGTTTAATATAAATTCATTATATATATATATATATTTTTTTAATTCTTTTATAAAAATTCTTTTAATTGGAAGACCTCCAACCCCTTCATTAGTAAGATTTAAATCGCAGACTTACGCAACAACCATAACCCGCACTCATTATATATGTGTGTGTATATATATATATATTATTGAATGTCATCCCCTAATATAACCCCGCACTCATATTATATATATATATATATATATATATATATATATATATATATATGCAATTTTAAAACCAATTGTTGCTTATTTTACAAGTTTGATAAGAAAATATGACTAATTTAGTAGGAGAAAATATGACAAATTTGTTGCAATTTTTCTTTAACGTTGGTTGAGTGTTTGACATTATATATATTGAATGGCAAACACTCAACCTTAAAGAAAAATTGCAACAAATTAGTCATATTTTCTCTAACTAATTTAGTCATATTTTCTTATGAAACTTGTAAAATAAGCAACACGTGGTTTTAAAATTGCTTGGCTTATCAGTTAATCACCCATCAATTAAGAAATAGTAGAAAAAAAAAAAAAAAAATGGTTGTTCAAGACTAGACTTTCCAACTACCATATATCGCAGACAAACGAACAAAGAGCCCACTGTTTCACAACTTCCAATGGGACCAGAGTGGATAAAATCAAGAACAAGGCAAGTTCAGGTATCAGTTATCCAATATCCCCCATAATTTATAAGTACTTCCCTTGTTTTTAATATGTCTGGAACGTTGCCTGGAAATAATCATATTTCAAATGTATTTTTTTTTTTATGTCAAATGGTATTCTTTGTTGTTGTTGTTATTATTATTATTATTATTATTATTATTATTTTTTATTTTTATTTTTTTGTGAAAGGTATATGTCAAATGGTATTGTCGTTATCATATGTCAATCTGTCAAATGTTACAGTGTGATCGACCTAAAAATCTTTGGACCAATAAAAAAATAGGTTAAGAATGACAAACAAATAAAAAATATAAATGACATCCTTATTCCTAAAACATACTTAAACACTAAGAAATTAGGATTAAAAATATACTATGTTTAATAAGGTATTATTTGATAATTTAATTTAATTATAAATAAATCAAGTATTTATTTAATTAAGTATATTAAAAATGTATTGCTGTTCCAAGAATCAGTGGAATTGAATAAAAGTTTGGTTCAAAGTTAAAACTAAAATTTACAATTTTCTCCAATTTTATTTATTTCAATTCTAAAACTTTAATTTTGTACAGTTTAACATAAATTAACTATATATATATATGTATATTATTGAATGTCAAACACTCAACCTTAAATTAGTCATACTTTCTTATCAAACTTGTAAAATAAGCAACAACTGGTTTTAAAATTGCTTGGCTTATCAGTTAATCACTCCATGTATTAAGAAAGTATAGAAGAAAAGAAAAGTTGTTCAAGAGTAGACTTTCCAACTACTATTCTCGGCAAACGAACAAAGAGCCCAACTGTTTCACAACTACCAAAGGGACCAGAGTGGATAAAAATCAAGATGGAGACACTCGCTTTGTCGACACTCAACTTCAAAACAGTCTTTTTAGTATCAGTCTCTGTGTGTGTAAAGTTTAGATCGGACCACAAAAGAACATGGCAATGGAATCTGGGAAGAAGGTGATGGTGGCCATCGACGAGAATGAGTCCAGCTACCACGCTTTCATTTGGGTTCTCGAGAATCTCAAAGAATCGATCAACAATTCCAACAATCCGCTAACTATATTCATGGCACAGCCCTCTCCAACCAGCAATCACGTCTTCTCTGCAGCTCTCGGCTCCGCTCGCATGTACTGCCAAGTCTCAGCCAGTTACGTCTCTATCTCTATATCTATCTATATATATATATATATATATGCGTGTGTCTGTGTGTGGAGAGAATAGCTGGATTAGGGTTTAATAATGAATCTCGAAGGAACAAATTTGGGGAAGTGGATAAAATTTTGGGGTTTATTTAAATTATTTTATTTTATTTATTTTATACACACATAATTTGTGTTTTGATTGTGCGGTGTTAAAATTTGAATTGCAGCTCCGGAGTTTGTCAACTCTGTGCGAGAACAGAATAAGAGGCTTTCATTGGGTCTCTTGGAGAAAGCGAAGGCAATCTGTACCAGCCGTGGGGTATGACCCTGTGTTACTTTTCAAATGACAAGAATGATTTTCATAGCAATGCTTACTTGGTTACACAATAGTGTCATCTAAGGGCATTTTAGGCATTTACACTTTCGATTTATTTTTATATTGCTGCATTAGATTATGATTTTCATAGCTGGTAGCCCCAAAGTAGTAATTAATAGGGGAAACAATTTTTATAAATAAGTAAAAATATTTTTTCCGAGCTTAATATGATCATCTCAATCAGCTTTAACGAAATTAATTTAACCATGATTACCATAGAGGATTAGAATTAACCAATCTTGTAGACAATTGAAAAATTACCTGTCACCGGTCTTTTATTAATTGCTAGATCGGGATCCATAGTTCTTCGACGATGTATCAACCGTGGTACCTTTTGGATCTTCACTTTTATCTTCGATTTGGAAATTCTTGAGTAGGAGAAGTGGGAATTAAGGGTAGAAATGGGGTGAAATGGATCTTTTAAGTAACTTATGCTCCATTTTATAAGAGCTTTGTAAGAAAAAGTGATATTGCATGATTTGACTATTACTACGTATATGCTTTAGTAATTTGACATGCTTTATTAAAAAATTTTAAAAGTAGGAAAGGGGTAAGAAGATGCTGTCTCCTACTTTTCTTACTTTTAATTGGCATTTTTCCTCTACAAACAGGGAAGGCTTCCACAATTCCTTCCCTTTCCCATCCTCCCTTTCTTCTCTCTATTTTCCCTACCAAATGTAACATTAAGATTGGACTTGTAGCAATCTCAAGAGAGCTTCAAAAGCTACTGAAAATATCTTGAAAATTCTCTCTATTGATTGAAAGATTATATAGACTCATAGAGGACATTAAACATATTTTACCTATGTTACATGGACTTGGGTACGTGTGCGGGGTGGTGCGGGTGTGTATTCAGGTGTTGGATGTGTTAAATACCAAATAGGACACATGGACACTGCTAAAATACTAATATTATTTATTATTTTTATTATTTTCTGTTAGGAAATTGTCATATGTTGGCATATCCCCACATCAAAACAAACTTGTAATAGTGTGGAAGTGTGTGTCATTGAGTTGATTGAGAACATCAGTTGAAGACATGACGGACACAAATTTGCAAGGATTATAAATATTCAATCACAAATTTAGATTAAAGGTAAATGGACTTTAGTTGAGTTCAGTTTAACCTATTTTGTTCTTGGTTGGGTTTAAATTTTTTGGGAAAAGGTTATTAATTAAATGATATTTGTAAAACTTATTAAATCTGTGTGTTTTGAAAATAGTAGGTGTCAATTGAAATGTCGATCAATCGACAGCCTTTTAGTAAGTCTTCATCAAATGGTTGATCGATTGGGAGGTCATTTTTTCTTTTTTCAAAAAGGAATTTAGTATGTGTCGATCGAATGGTCTATTGATTGACATAGCTCCAGTAGGTTTCGATCAATAAGTCGATTGATCGAACCTGTCCAATTCTGATTTATTCAAGTCTCTCTTAAAAACAGTGTTGAGGGTGGGGATACTTCATCTCAAAAGTTTCAAGTGATCCAACAAGTGAAATCACTTTAGGCTTGCCATTATATTTGCTCTCTTCTATAGCTTCAACCATGGACTGAATCTCATAGACAGTGATCTCAAAATTTTTTGAAGTTTCGAAGTACTTTATTCTCAGTTATTTTTTCACTTAGGTTAAAACTGTAATTAATTATGTCATTGAGTTTAGAATAAAATTTTAAAAAACAGTCATTCTCTTACATCTTAATTCTCTCAAACCTAGTTGGGAACATCAATAATTTTGAGCTTTTAACAGTATTAAATACCCTCATGGGTAACCTGAAAAATGTCCCATGCTTCTTTGGCAGTTGCAAGTAAGGATCCTAGATAACATTACAAGTATAATTACACCAAAGATAAAAGCCTTTACTCTTTGCAAATCATAAAGCTGGTAATTTCTCAACAACTACTCTTCCATCCCCTTCCCCTATAACAGTAACTGGAGGAGTCCAACCTTCATCTACAGAATTCCAGACTCTCTCATCTAGTGGCTTGAGAAAGGCTCTAATGTAGGCTTTCAAGTAGGCATAATTAGGCCCATCAAACATAGGAGATCACTGAATTAATACACCCTCTTTCAATTGAGACTCTATAGTGGATTTTTCAAAAACAAGTTTTTATTTTTTATTTAAAAAAAATCCACCAAGATCAACTCACTAAACTTGCTCTGATACCTAGTGTGAGTTGCGCCGTGCGGAAATGGAGTGAAAGTTTACTTCAATAGGAAGACCTAGACAGGTGAATTGGTTTAGTTTGCTCATTTGATTGATTTTCAGATTATTTTTATGATTTTAACAAATTTAGCATGCAATCAATTAACCAACACACGAACAAAGAAAAAAAAAAAAGAGTAAAAAGAGTGACACCAGAATATTTTAATTGGAAAACTTAATGGGGAGAAACCACATTGACTGGCCATTTCTGGTGTAACTATCCATTATATGTGAGAGTTCAATGAGTGCCAGTTCTTTTTGCACTGCTCTCAATGAGCCCCCATTTCCAATGCCTTCAGAATCACATGCCATTAATTTAGCTCGGATGCCTAGTGTTTTCTAACTCCAGTGCCTTTAGAATCACCAGCAACCTTGTTGCACACCAACACAATCATGTCATGATGATCTGCTTCTCCAAGTGGTCAATCGCCATATATTCCAAAATTGTGTGAAGATTCGAATGAAGCTTGCTTGTCCGATTAACTAAATAAATATGTTGTTAGGCTCACAATTTTGTTGATCAGATGTAGAATAACATACTAAACACTCCATAGTACGTGCTCAAACTAAAATAAAGAGATCTCATAAAAATCCCAGCTTGATTTTTCTTAAGTGTCTAACTTGAAACTAAATACAAAGTTGTCGAGAGTATGAGTACATTTGGAGATCTGAGACGAGTAGATCCAAAGATTTGAGACGAGTTGATCCGGAGATCCGAGACGAGTTGATCCGAACATCTAAGATGAATTGATCCCGAAGTTCGAAACAAGTCTAGAGTAGGGTATGATAAACCTGCTTTGATACCATGTTGATCAATAAAATAAAAGATCCAAAAGAGAGATAAAGAATGAAACAAACCTTTAATTTAGTGCTAATCCTTATTTTGGTTTCATCAACTAAAATAATATTTTCAACAAAACTTGTTGATCGAGTTGTAATTTTTTGGTTTATTTTGAGTCTCAATCTTTGGAGCTGAATGCCAAGTGACTCGATACCGTGGAATTGGATGAAGAAATCATTTAGTACAGGTATATACATGAGTGAGTACGCTATGCATTTGAAGTTTGGTAGCTTACGACTTGGAATATATGTGTTTAATAAAAAAAATTTAGTATCAGCTAAGTCCCACAGGTTAGACTTTTACCGACCGGTCCAACTACTCTTGGTAGTTGGATTCTGCAAAGTCCTACTTGTCAGACTTTTACCCACCGCTCGGACTTGTCCTGATAGCAACGGGATTTAGACGTTTCAATGAGTTTTAAAATTCATTTTGCACTAAACTTCACGAGACGTCCTACAACGCTTTTAAGACACTTTTCTAACTTTTTTGAGGACTTTTGTGTGTATTTAAACCACTTCAGATCTCCAGCTATACACAAACTTTGGTAGAAACACAAAATATTTTACACACCTTTATTGGAGCTTAGAGAGGGATTTTGAGAAAAGCTTTTTTATATTTTTGAGAGTGCACACATACAAGTGAGTGTTTTAGTGTGATGCTCTTCATAACATTAGAGCAACATATTTCTTATTTCTTCATACTTGTGAGTGAAAGGAAGGAGAATCAATCACTACAAAGAGGATAGATTGTTCGCGGAGATATCGTGCTCTTCAAGTAACCCTTCTGCAAGGATTAAGGAGTCAGCATGAATTCTGCAGCAATTGGATGGGGAGTCGCAAGAGTAAGCCTGAGGCGTTCAGTAACTAGTTATTGGCATACTGGAGTGGGTGTGAGACTCAGACATAGTTTTTAACACTGCTTCGAGACAGTGGATTGATTTGCCAGAAACGGTTAGGATTAAGGTTTTTTCCTTCAGGTTTCCACATAAAAAATCTAGTGTTTGGTGTGCTCTTTCCTTTACATGCTTTACTTTATTGTTTCTATTTTGATTAATGGATGGTTAATTGTTAATCATTGTGGATAATTAATCAATTACAAAAATTAAGCAAGAAAACCTATTCACCCCTTCTAGGTCATAGGTTCATTTAATTTCACTAGATTAACTAACCAATTCCGCGCTGCCTAACTCACAGATAGTGGGCTATCCCGCTATCCTACCTTTCAAATCTATTTTCCCCCACAAAATGATAATCGTGTAAATTTTTGTAAGATTTGATTTAGATTATCTTGTATATATCCTCCCATTGATTTTGCTTGTCATTTCTACAGAGCTTTTTTGAGAAGTACTGCAAAGGTGGATGAAGTATTGTGGAGATAGGATCATTCAGGACAGTAGTGAGATTGGGTATCATAAATTACTTAGAACGAAGTCATAAAATGATGTGTGTGAAAACAGGATTCTAGGGATAACATGCTTTTGTCCTTAACAACTACTTTTGCAGTTGTTAGTTCTTGATGAAACCATGTTAGGGAAAAAAAAACTCAAGTTGGTAGTTGCAGCAAGATTCTTGAGCATTATTTTCTTAAATCTTTGAGAATTTGAAAGTTGTCATCAATATAGAAGAATGGAACATGATCAGACATTCTTTTGATGATTATTGAAAATCACCTTCTGCACATAAATTTTCAAATGTTCTGTTATTAATTGAAATCCAATTTTCTGTGGGATTACATTAAGCACCATAGTTATTTAGAGTGACTGAAATATGAAAATGGCGTTTAAATCTCCAACAGTGAGGACAACCTTTTTGTTTACTAATTTCTGGCAAACTGAACATAGTGCAGAGTTGTGTACTTTTTTGGTCCTATCTACTATCTAGTAAGTTCATTTGCTGCTGGTAGGAAAAATGAAATAATGAATGTTAAACTCACTACTATACCACCTTAACAATTTAACCGAATGGATTTTGGTGATTCTATAGACTATAGCCCTATATCATAATTTTTCTCACACTTTAATTGCTACAATTATAGATTTTGGATACTCCTATTGAAAGTGTTCCAACTAGAGAATGCGAACAAATAATATAGTTACTATGCTTACGTGCATTGTACACATTATTTATTTATTTGTTTCTGTTTTTTTTCTTTACATTGCAATTTAATCCCACGTGAATTTTGAGGAATGATGTCATTTTGTGTCCTATAGGTAAATGCAGAAACGATTACAGAGATTGGAGATCCTAAGCAGGCCATATGTAATGCAGTCCAAAAGTATAATATAAGCCTTCTAGTTTTAGGTGATCATGACATCGGAAAAATCAGGAGGTTAGTTTCCTTGCTTATGATTTGCAGAAAATTCCATTAATATGATAATCCTTCGTACATTGTGTTCCACTAGATTTTTGTTCTGTTAAAACTATTTAACGTCTTTAAAATCCATTTGTGGTATTCATCGAGTGGATATTATATTTGATGTCTCTTCCTAGAGAATGTAATATGTTGTATATCATATGACTGCTTGAGCATGCCATCCAAATATTTTGGGCAATGGTTTCACTATGCTTGGACATGTAGAGTGTGGAGAGTTACAATGTGGGTGATGGAGTTGGCTCCAATCTTATATGACCTAAAAGGCTATTAATTCCAGTTTATGGTTAAAATACCTCAATGCGCATGTAAATGTAATTTTTGTTACTTATTTGGACGTATTTACCTAGCATATGTGCGATTTTTTTGCAATATTGGTCCCTTTTAGAAGTGTGTATACTTTTGTCGAAACTCAACTCAATAGAGCCTTTTCTAATCTATTTGGGGTCAGCTACATGAATCCTGTTTCATGTTTCGCTCTAGCTAACTTATAACTTAAGTCAAACTATATATTTATCATATCATGAGTTCCTCGTGATTGTAGTAGTATTCAACTTGGATTTACCAATATGTTTATCAACATGACTGGAATAATGGAAGATAATTGAGCTGAACATGTGATGTGACTTATTGATCTGTTATGCAAATGTACATTCCAAATAAAACACTTGCTATTGATTAAACCGATGGGTAGTGTGGAGCCGAATTTTGTAGGGGGTATTTTGGTAATTTCTTCACTTGTTATGTTGCCCTACTGTCAGGGTATTTGTTCATTCTGAACTCTCTATATGTGGGGCTGTTTTTTGATTATCACAGTGAAATACAATTTTGGGTGACCCAAATAAAAAATCTGTGTTCTGGTTGTGTGTGTTTGATATGTTTTTCTGTGTTTTGTGATTAATTTCGCAAAATTAACAGCAGTTGCATTCTTTAGGTAAACTGCACATTATATGCAAACTACAGTGTTTTTTGATGTTATACTGACAATATTTACTAAACTCAGTTCTATCAAATGTTGCTCTAAATTCTGGAGATCACAATGGCACTTTTAATATTTAAACATACACTTTATATTAGGACCTCTAAGACCCAAAAGATCTGTTTTCAATTTAATTCTGAAAATAATAGATATCCTTGTGGTAAGGTCACTAAAATGCTTACTGTACATCTTAGAAAGTCGACGTTATGTTGTGATTTAATGTACATATCGATTGCATATATTTGGGCACTGAAACAAAATTTCTTGATGCAGGGCTCTTCTTGGGAGTGTGAGCAACTATTGTGTTCATAATGCCTCGTGCTCGGTTCTTGTTGTGAAGAAACCAGAATGAAAGTATAATTTCATAACTAATTTCAATATATTTGGTAGTGATCTGTGTGTGTATGTTTAGATCTTGTTCTACGTACATTGTTGAAATTGTAAATTATCCAGGTGAAAAAAAAAAATTATGGATGCACTGATAAACACATGCATTGTAATTCAACATAATTGTTGACACTTCTATGTTCTGTGAAATGAAATGGGGTTGTATTTGACTAATCGATTGTTGCATGCTTGCGAGCGCTCATTGCTCACTCGTTGGATGATGTAAATCTTGTTGTAGTATGAATGATGTAACTATTAATGAGTATTAGGAAAGAATCCCAAATCACTACTGGCTAGGGATCTTTTCTTTATCACCAAGATATTTAGATTCCTCTACAAGTCTAATTTACTTCCTTATTTATATCAATCCCTTATTCAATGGGACTATATCATAGCTACCTTTACTTGTAAATCAAGTATTGATGTATATAAACACGTGTAAAGAGATCTAAATTAACAATTATCGAATAGAATTAAGTAATGGTAAATGATATTTTTGATGACTTTAATACTCCGACTTAAAACCTCTATTAAGTAATGGGAAATGATATTTTTGACGACTTTAATATTTCGACATAAAACCGACCTAGGGAAAAATATGATGTGTTAATAAGAATCATTACTACTCTTGTTTATTTCTATAAAATACGTTAATTTTCCTTTCTTTATCTACTCAGTTTTTCATTATCTTTTTAGTTTTTCATAACCATATCATCTTCTTTTTTGTTTTCACAGTATCTATCATGGTACTCGGATAGAAGATTTTGATTGGTACAAAATCTAGAACAAAAATTACAATATTTTTTAATTTTTCAATGCTTTGCAATTTTTCTTTAAATTCCTCTCTTTGTTTTTGTTTATCACATAGATCATTAGTTTTGATCATTATATCAATGAACAAATGTTAATCTAATTATATATAGGAGATGCAATCTTTAAGGATCTATGCGTTAGAGATCGAGATGCAATGTGATATATATATATATATATATACAATTTGATATACATAGTGATTGAAACTTTAATATCCAACAAAGATACTATATTAAGATGAAACCTAAAAAATGGATTACAACTTTCCAAATAGTTAATTACCTTATATTTTAAAATAGGTCCCATTATATTTGACACATAAGTAGCCACATAGACTCGGTGAAGTAGTAGGTTTAATTTGTCGGGCTAAATAGCAGTACTCTTAAGTAATTGTTCATGGTATCAAAGCTTTCAAATCCTCCAACGAGTTTTCTGATGCTTATAACATTTCTCACTATCTCATTTTCTGATCCTTATAACATTTCTCACTATCTCATTTTCTGTCTAAAGTTTCTACATCTCTACTTCACTATGTCTACAAAACTAGTCTCCTCCACCTCTGTGAGATATATTTTTATAATTGGCAAATTTCTATAACAAAACAAGTCCTAGTCAAGTTGTAATTTCATTTATCAGAATCGACATCGACTGTGGAATTCAGAGGTTGCTCAGAAGAGGAAAGTACTATTGATCATCGAAAAGGAAAGAACAACATATTAGGACATTGTTTCTCACTTAGGACACAATTACCCACATGGTATATTTTCAGAGTTCCAAAAATACAAAAAATCCAAGTTCAAGTTGGATTTTGTCAAGTGGGAACCGGTACCTGCATTTGGGAACCGATTCCAGAAGCTAAGATTCGAGAACTTATTTCTGTCCTTTGGGAACCAGTTCCAAGAGTCCTGATTGCAAAAGGTTTCTAGTTTCCTTGTTCTATTTAATTCCTTTTTGATCCAAATTTCCTTCTAAATCCTTGCACGAAATTTCCTTTATTTTTAGACGGAATAGGACTTTGCAAACCTCTATATAAACCATGTCATACACATAGGCTTATTTATGGCTTTTACATCATTATTCATATATCATACAAAGCCTTAAGAAGTTTATTTCTCTCAGAAAATCAAAGTTGACTTTTCTATTGTCTTCCTAGAATACACACATATTCACCTAGTGAGTTTAGAGTTGTGGTGTTCGAATCCTGATCGTGATCATACGGTTGTATCTACATCGATCAGACAAAAATAGATCTTCTTCTACATCAAGTTCAGACAGTTAAAGAACAGAAATAAAAGCGATCACACTTTAAAAGGGTTGGAGCATTCGTCGAGTGTTGTCTAATCTACCTGTTATTCTTTTACAAATATCAAGTGTAAGCCTGAGGTCAAGTTGCTGTTGGACGGGGAGTCGCAAAGCCAGATAATTGTCAACAGTTGGTGTTTGGTTAAACGATAGGGTGTGATCCAGAGTCAAAATTTAGTGTACTTTATTTCAAGCATAGTGGATTAGTTTACTTTGGACTGCACAGTCCATACAGTTTTTCCTATACAAACAGTTGACATATTTTATCAACTGGGGTTCTTCACTAAAATCTTGGTATCATCTCTAACTTTACTTTGCTTTATTTTATATTGCATGGTATTGATTTATTAATTGCTAAAATAAAGAAAGCTGGTAAAGACACAGATTTGTTTTAAAATAGTCAAAACTTTCCTAGTACATTCCGCTGTGTACAATTCACAAATTGGTATCAGAACCAATCTCTACACATTGAGTTGATCTTTGTTGGAAAGTTTTGTTTCGTTTTTCAAAAATTGTTTTCAAAATCATGTCTTATACATTGAAAGAAGGCGGTTCTAATCAACGTGGTCCTTTATTTGAAGGAGAAAATTACAATTTTTGGAAATCAAGGATAAGAGCCTATTTGCAAAATTCTGGTGGTAAAACTTGGGTAATAGTTGAATCTGGCTATACACCACCTTCAGTAGATACAACTGTGGATGGTAAAATAGTCAAAGAGTTAAAAGGTATTTTTGCTTTTACTGCTATTGAAACTAAGCGTAATAATGCTAATGACAAAGCTTTATATTCAATTATTAATTCTGTTGTTCCATCTGAATATGCTAGAATTTCTGATTGTAAAACAGTTAAAGAAGCTTGGGATATTTTACAGGTTACTCATGAAGGAACTTCAAAAGTGATTGTCCAAAATTCATATGCTTTCTCATAAATTTGGGAACATCGTGATGAAAGAAGATGAATCCTTTTTTGATTTTTATTCTAGTCTTCTTGAATTAATTTCTGAATTGCGTCACTTAGGTAAAAAAGTTAGTGATAAGAAAATCTGTGAGAAAATCTTAAGGTCTTTACCTAAAAGATTTCAAATTAGAGTTGAAACCATCACTGAACATTGGGATTTGAATACCTGTAAAGTTGATGAGATGGTAGGTTCTTTAAAAACTTTTGAGGTGTAGAACTTTGATTTAAACCAGAAGGAGAAGAATCTTGCTTTAAAATCTACACATGTTGAGAATTCTGTGGATGACGACTCTGATGATGATATTGTATTTTTGTCAAGGCAATTCCGTCAGATTTTGCAAAGGCAACAGAGGAGAAGGAATATCAACATGGCTAATCCTCAAAATTTTGACAAAACGTCAAAGTTTAGGTTTAATGAAAAGAAAGTAGAAGAATCAAAAGAAACTAAATTTATTTGCTGGAATTGTGGTGGCAAAGGTCACGCATCCAATATTTGCCCCAGTCCTAGGAAAGAACAAAATGATAGGAATGAAGAAAAAACAATGAAAGTTTTTATGTCTAAAAATTCTACTTTAAGTAATAAGGATTCTCCTCAGGATATTACTAATGATTTTTCTTATGTCTCTTTTCTTGAAAGAGGTCCTCATGCCGTTCATTTATCTGACTTTGAAAGTTCAAATAATAACAACAATGATGTTCATGATGAACAGGTGGAAGAGGCTGAAAAGGACGATGAAAGATTGAAGAAGATGGTCAAAGAAACCATAGAAGTAAAACAAGCAAATCAATAAGCTAGCAAAGGAGCTTATCCAAGCAAAATAAGAGAATGAAGATCTAAAGAAACAGATTGATGAAGGCAAAAGGAAAGCTTTTGAAAGCAATTCTGTCATCACTAAGCTTGAGAAGTAGATTATCATTCTTGAGGGTAAGGTAAGTGTTGCTAACTCATTGAAGGAATGTCGTGCTTTGAAAAATGATTATCTTGAAATTGAATTGAAATCTGAACAAGATAAACTAAAAGGATTCAATTTAAGTCACAACAGTTTGAATAAGATAATCAACATGGGTAATGATGTGAATGATAAAACAGGGTTATGATTTGTTATCTTCTAGTAATTGAGGATACCAAAAACGACATGGGCTGGGTACGACCCAGATTGCTGGAAACAGGTCTAAAGGTAACACTTTGTTCAATCAAATCATCACTTATTAGGCCCACGACCGGAAGATTAGTCTGGAAGCCCAATCTCAGAGCAAAGGAAATAGGCCTATATCTATAATGAGCCCAAAGGATCAGCCCAGCATGAAGAGTTAGTTAGGAAGCTTCTAAAATGTTTGCAGAAGTCTATAAATAGACTAAAAAGATAGGGAAAAGGGATTAAAATTTTTCTTGAAGTGTAAAACTATTCTGTCCAAATTGAGAGAGGATTTTTCTTGCATCTTCAATGGCACCGTCTGTGGGAGACGATCAAGATTGATTTGTGAGGAAGAAGCTTGATCTTTAGAAGTTGGATTCAGATTGGCGAGATCGTGATCTGTCTTGCAGAGGCGAGGATCTAGTTGATCTTTGGCAATTAGAGTCGGATTTGCACAATCGTGATTTGTATTGCGGAGCCAGATCTGACGAGCTCAAGACAAGGAAGATTCAGATCCAACCGAAGAAGATAGAAATTCAGCCAGTCCGAGACCAGATCTAGTGCATTCGCATTATGTGATACCCCTCGTTTCTAGAGCCACGGGTGATCAAGTCCGAGCACAGATCCGAGGGATACCAAACAATCACTATGTAAACAAGCAGGAATAAAACTGAAATAAGATTTAAATAATAATAAACAGAAAGAATACTAAACTGAAAATCCTCAAACCTTAAATAATAATTTAATATAATTTAAAATCTGTACAACTCGGGAATCCACCTAGTGGACCCCTAAATCCAAATCTTTAGATAAATTTACAGAATTAAAATCCAAAACCATAATAGAAAAGAAATCTTATGTAACCGGAAGAGTGAGTATCTGTATCTGCATCAACACGATCAAACTCTAAGCTAGTACTGGCGAATACCTGAAAAAATAAGAGTGGGTCAGACCCATATGCAAGTT